AAAAAAAAAAAAACTGAATTCGAACGCTCGCGCGGCTCCTATATTAAAAGAATTAAAGGGTGATTTAGATGAAATTGGTAAGCATATTGATCAAAAACATTTATTTACGGAAATGGGACGATATTTTAAAATCTTCTTAATAATTTTTTTTTTTTATAAAAAACAATAATTTAAATGGTTGATATGTTATAGCTCGTAAGTCATTTAATTTTCTACTACAGATATATTTTAACAATTTAATTAAACTTTTATTTTGAATATCTAAAAAATATTTAATAATAGTTGGTAAGTTATTTCAATATTTAATTATCTTTCTACTATAATTAAATCTCAATTAAATTTTTTTATTTTTAAATCTAGATGGTAAACTATTTTATAAATTTTTAAATAAGATATATATTATTATTTTTTTAGTTTAATTAATATTATTTTAATCTAATTTTATTGATTTATAGTGGAAAAATCATTATAATTGTGATAATTCATTAATTCATTTATATGGATTTACTCAAGATCCAATTACTTTAGATTTTATGATATTAATGAAATATGCAAATAAAGGTAATTTAAGAATAAATTTACCAACAATAATTAAATATAATTGGAAAGATAAATTATTATTATTATTGAATATTATTGAAGGACTTAATATTATTCACAATTTAAAATTAATTCATTGTGATTTTTATGATGGAAATATCTTATATAATGATTCTTCTGTTTATATTAGTAATTTAGGATTATGTAAACCTGTAAAATATTTTAAATCATCTAAAAAAACTGAAATATATGGTGTTTTACCATTTATATCACCTGAAGTTTTAAGAGATCAACCTTATATACCAGTTAGTGATATTTATAGTTTTTCTATGATTATTTGAAAATTTATATCTGGAGTTTTTTCTTTTGAAAATAAAGCACATGATGCACAACTTATCTTAAGTATTTGTAAAGAAGAACGTTCTGAAATTATTAAAAATACTCCACAAATTATATAAATTTAATGAAAAAATGTTGGAATGAGAATCTATTAAAAAGGCCAACTGCATCTAATATTAAGAATACTTTATCAATTGAATTAATAATTTTAAAGAATTTAATGTAACAGATATATTATTAGATCAAATTAATATTTCAACTGAATCTATTATTGAATCTCATTCACAAGCATATCATACAAGTTGATTATTTAATCTTACTAAATTAAAGAAAATTTTAAATGAGAAGAAAAAAGAGATTTTTGATTATAAAATGATTTAAATGATGAATTACATGAAAGGAAAATCAGTCAAAGTATTGGTAATTATCATATTTAAAATAATTAATTATAAGAAATTTCTAATTAAATTAATTTTAAATGAATAGAAATTTAAATTTTATGAAACTTGATATTAGTAAATAAAGCATTTATATAAATTTTTTTCTATATGTATTAATATAATTTACTAATATTTTTTAAAATAAATACATCTTTAAAAAGTTTAAGAAATTTATTTTTGTTTATTTATTATTTATAATTAGCTTTATATTTTATATTATTTATTTTATAATATATATTTTTTTTTAGTTTTTAAGATTGAAAATTGTTGATTATCAATTATTAAAACAAAAATATAATTGTTTATTTATCGCAATAGAAAAATAATCTTTATAACTCTTCTTTTATATCAAGATTTTACAGACTATAAAATTTTAAAATACTATAGATATATTTATATATTCAAATTATATTTTATTAAGTCATGTCAAGTTTAAAATTAAAAAGACAATTATAATAAAGATATTTTTTATTTTTAAAATTATTATAAAATACATAAGAAATAATTGTGTAAATGTTTCAAAATTAATATTATAAATCATTTTTTAATTACAAAATTATGATATAAATGAAATTATTTAATTATTTCCAAATAGAAAAAGGAATTTATCAGATTTACCTATTTCAGCCTAATAAATATTTACTTTTAAATTTATTTAAAATATTCTCTTCTATATAAAATAAAACTTTACTCTATATAATTTGGATAATAAATAAATAAATAAATGCAAATGTGAAATCTGCATTTGCAAATCTTACTTTTAAATCTAAAAGGTAAATTAATTAATAGTAGATCTGTGAAAAGTGAAGATTATTTTCCAGTCATATTTACTCACTTTTATATAATTAGATGAGTGATTAAAGAAAAAAATTTAAAAATTTCAAATTATCACAAAATGTTTTGATCTATACATATATTATCAATTATTTATTTTAATATATCTTATATTAAAATTAAAAATTTTTAATTTATTTAAAATAAATAGCAAATTTTGTTTTCAAACAAAGAAAATTTTACAAATTAAATTTATTGCTTTAAAAATCATCTTCATAATTATTTTCAAATTTTAATTGAGTTGCAACTTAATTGCATCATAAGAAAATTTAATTGCATTATAAGTTGCAACTCAATTATGATTATCTTAACTAGTTTCTTTGTCAACATTTTTATCAATTAATAAAAGGTTTTAAATTTCGGATAGAAATTCTTGTTTAGAATTATTTCAATCATCTTTGGTCATAAATCCATTCATCGAATCTTCTTTCTCAGTTTTCATATTTTTTAATAAAGTTTAATAATCATCACATTTCGTCTTTTCTAATAAAGTTACATAGTCAGGTTTCGTCTTTTTAAATAAAGTTTCATAGTTAGCTTTCATATTGTTTATTAAACCTTCACAATCAGCTTTTGTCATTTGGCTTTGATCTTTCAGGTCAGCCAACTCTCTCAATTTATCAGAAATATATATTGCTTTACTCAATGCTGGATTATTATCTATATCTGTAATTCTTTGTTGAACCTTTCAATTGGCATCTCATAGAAGCTAAAATGTAAAAGGTAAGGTGATATAAATTTAACAAATATTACAAAATATACAAACAATTATAGATAACGTACATCGTATCTGGAAACCAATGATTCCACCTCCGTTGATTTCAGCCAAAATTTTTGCTTTTTGTAGTACAAATAGGAAATGTGTTCTATTTCCTTCGATTTCCAAATTAAGCAATCCAATGAATAAATTCATTAGATAAACTACAACCAAGAAAGAAAACATAATTAGCAGCACTGTCAAGAATGGATTTTCCTGATATGTCCATGAGCTAAGTGCTGATGAACCCCCAGTTAAAAACAAATATATGGTCAAGAGTGAGGATTTATAAGTGGTAAATTGATTTGATTTAGAATCAAGTTGTTGAATAAAAGCTGTTTCTGAAAAAATTTTGCCATTTGAAACTGATAGATATTTCGCAACAAGATTCCAAGGATTATTATGATCGTCATTATTGGAAGGTTCAATCAAATTGTAATCTTTATTAGGAGCCAACATAATGAAAAACGCATGTGTAAAGCCAATTATAATAAGAAATAAGATCAATATGAAAGTGAAAGAAATTGAAGTATGACGTTGTGTATTAAGGTGGGAATTGCACTAAATCCGACCTTATTACAGAAACCGCGATTTGGACTGATGATGATGGAGCATACTTTACAAAGATGCTTACCTTTGATCTGATTTTTTAGTTTATCATCCAAAGAATGCATGCAATATGTTCGACCATTCAAAAGCTATTAAAGTATCAACTTTATAAATTTTACTTGGATCCTGATTATGAACAAACATTTACTCTCTAGGAGTGTCAAAATCAATTAAATCTTGATACATAATTCATAAAATAAATATAAATATTGTTTCAATGAATTCAAGGTGGATTGATAAAGTGGATGTTAATAAGAAATATTTTACCATTTTGAATAACATTGAGAGAGAAGCGAGATGGATTTGCTCCTAAAACTTTTCAGTACAAAATGCGATAATGGCCTATTATTGTAAGGAACCGAAGAAATTATTTGAATCAGTCACAAAATAAACTATCTGATTACGATAGATTGTCGGATGAAAAAATGATAAGAGATACTTTCTTTAAATGATTATAATTAAAAAATTTTGGTTAATTTTTTAAAAATTATGAAAAAATAAATTTGGTTTATAACGTCTTGTTCGAATATTTGATTTTTTTTATAAAAGATAAGTTAAAATTTGTAATAAATTTGTACGAGAAGCGGATTATCTTGAAAATTTTAATAAAATTGATTCAAACAGATGGAAGTTATTAATATTTCGTTTTCATTTGAAGTTATGAATACGTGTGCATATGAATATTCATGACATGCTCCAATTAAAATAATATATTTAAAATATTTAATTATTGAATTATTTTAGTGAAATACAGGTATATTTGATAGTGGCATTCTTTATTGGACGGGGAGAAGTTTTGATAACTTTTGAAGAAAATTTTTTTTGGCTTTTTATAATTCTATTCTAGTGTTACATTGAATATAATTTATAGTTAGTCTTTGAAGATCATTTACAGGATGTCCTAATTATTATTTTTTTATAATTACGCTGGAAATCCTTAAACAGCTAAGTATACGCTCGCCCTTATTATAATTCACCTCGAAATCCTCCCTTTAACACCTTCGCGATATTTTCGCTTTCGCCGTTTTAACTTTTTAGATTTCTTATTTATAACTTCGTTTGTTTTTTTAATTTCCGATTTATTATTCAACATTTTGTAATATTTTCGTAATGCGCAGTTTTAATTAATTAGAGTTTTATTGATTGGCATTTACTTTAGTTCAATATATTGACAGAGAAAGTATAGAACGCCGACGTTGAGTCAACACTGATTAAATCGATATTATTAAATAAATACTTGTCACAATTACTTCATTTTTACTCAATTATTATTCAATTAGTTACCTTCTGCTTACATTACAAATTGTTTATAAATACATAAACGAAAGAACTGAATACAACACTAGTTATGTTACACAAAATTGCAACACGAATAAACATTTTATTTAAAAAAAGGGTTGACATACACTCTTGCGTAAATAAAATTTTTTGGTAAAATTGTTAACAGAAACGAGATATATATTTAAAATAGACTTTGGAGTATGTCATCGGAAGAAAACGCCAGTATGTACTGCATTCACAAGGGAAAAAAAAATAATCTTTTTGCTCTATTTAAACGTGAAGGTTAAATTTTTTTTTTAAAAAACTTTGATAGTTGGAATCGATTTGGGGTCGACATATTCATGTGTCGGAGTCTGGCAAAATGATAGAGTTGAAATTATTGCCAATGACCTGGGTAATCGTACGACGCCTTCATATGTCGCTTTCACCGAAACAGAACGTCTTATTGGAGATGCTGCTAAAAATCAAGCTAGCATTAACCCTCAGAACACTGTATTTAACGCTAAACGTCTCATTGGTCGTAGTTTTAACGACCATGAAATTAAAATTGATTTAGAGGTAACAATTGTCTTATCAAATATTTTGATCAACCTTGCATTTTTCATTCGTATTTTTTTTTTTTTAATTAGCACTGGCCATTCAAAGTTATTGAAAAGAATGAGAATCCATATATTCAAGTAAAATTCAAAGGCGAAAGGAAGAATTTCACACCCATAGAGATTTCTTCTATGATATTAATAAAGATGAAGAAAACCGCAGAATCTTTTCTAGGTTCAAAAGTTAGTAATGCCGTGATAACGTCGCCAGCTTGCTTCAATGATTCTCAACGTCAAGCGATAAAAGATGCATGTGAAATCGCTGGTTTGAAGGTATTACGCATAATTAACGAGGCAACTGCGGCAGCTATCGCTTATGGTTTGGACAAGAAACATGATGGTGAACGAAACGTTCTCATTTATGATTTAGGTGGTGGTTCTTTTGATGTTTCACTTCTAACTATCGAAGATGGAATTTTCGAAGTGAAAGCCGTTGCTGGTGACACGCACCTTGGTGGTGAAGATTTTGACAATCGACTTGTAAATCATTGCGTGCAAAAATTCCAACGTAAATATAAAAAAGATCTTACAACAAATGCACGATCATTCCAACGATTAAGAATTGCTTGTGAGCAAGCTAAGCGTGAACTTTCATTTTCATTACAAACTTGTATTAAAATAGACTCTCTTTTCGAGGGTATAGATTTCTATACCAACTTAACGCGTGCTAAATTTGAACAATTGAATCGAAGCTTGTTTCAGAATACGATGGAACCTATTGAAAAAGTACTACGAGATTCTAGAATCGACAAAAGTCAAATTCATGAGATCGTCCTAGTCGGTGGTTCAACACGCATTCCAAAGATTCAAAAAATGGTATCCAAAGTTTTTCGATGGCAAAATACTAAACAATTCCATCAATCCTGATGAGGCCATGGCATATGGTGCTGCCATTCAAGCCGCTATTTTATCTGGTGATACTTCAGAAAAAACTCGAGATTTTCTTTTACTCGATGTCACCGCTTTATCTCTTGGTTTCGAAACTTCCGGTGATGTCATGATGCCGCTTATAAAGCGTAATACAACTATACCTACTAAGAAATCAGAAATTATATCAAATTCTGATAATCAACAAGAAGTAATGATTCATATTTATGAAGGTGAACATGCCCGTATTAAAGACAATAACTTTCTTGGTAAATTCGAATTAACTGGAATTCCGACAGCACCAAGAGGTTTGCCGCAAATTGAAGTCACATTTGATATTGATGTAAACGGTATTTTAAACGCATGTATTAAATATTTAACTATAATTATTATTGTAATCATATTATAATATTTTATTAATTTGAATTTAATTTTAGGTCTCCGCTGTTGATATAATGACTGGAAGATCGAACAAAATAACCATCACGAATGACAAAGGTCGTTTGTCAAGGAATGAAGTCGCACGTATGGGTATGTGATGTGATCAAATTCTAATATTCTGTAATCAATAATCTTTTGCTAATAAAAATTTGTAATTATAGTTGCTGAAGCCAAGCTTTATCTCGAAGAGGATGAGAAAGTTGCCCAAAAAATACGGGCACGAAATCGGTTAGAAAGTTATGTGTTTGAGTTATGTAACACACTTTATGTAAGTTTTGTTTGGCATTTTAATTATTATATAGGTAGGATATTTTAAATCTAAATTATTCCCTCATTCAATAGGATCAGAAACTTGCTATGAATCAACTTGAAGATCAAATCGAAAAGTCAATTACATTGCTTGAAAATAACAAACATGTAGGAAAGGAGGAATATGATAATATACAGAGGTCACTTGAACAAAGTGTCGACCAAATAGTAACGCGGTGGCGTTGATAAGCTATATCATCCATCATATTATGTAAATCGAGATAATAAATTTTGGAAAAAGTTTAAAAAGCTATATTAATAAGTGAATCAATTAGTTTTCGTATAAAATTTACTCTTCCATAATTTTCAAATAAAAAGATCAATATTTTTCAGTTCTATAATATAAAAAGAAAGGATGCCGATGAACCATAAAACTACTCAGAATCTCATTTGATAAATAAAATAATATAATACTATAAGCTATATGAACTGTATAATAATACGCAAATAGTTTTTATTTAAATTTTTGCGGTTTGTAAGCTCAACAAATCTAAATGAGTTTAAGCTTCATCATAATAATTATGAATCAACAATTTATGTAAACATATGGGAAAATTTCTTTTTGATGTAGGTATTGGATTTCAATCATGGTGGCTCTCGAAAATTCGATATCAAGCATCAGAGTAATATAAACAAAAACCTGAAAAATTTTTGTTGGTGATTAGGAAAATTGCTAGGAAAATCAGATTCTGATATTTTTATTACATTTTTATTTTTTGATGTTATTAGATTAAAATGCAATCTTAATTTTAGTCAAATTTTCTCAACCTTCCCATGAAATCGTAAAAATGATAAAGAATACCCGCTACTAAAAAAATTTGTATCCTTCCTTCAGAAGTTTAACACATAGTTTCTATTATTTAAAACATCAGAATGATGATTGTGTGATTGTTCATTTGAGTTATTTTCATACTTAAATTTTAACCGTTTTTTGGTGACTTAGATACTAATTGTCGTAATCAATTTGGTATTAACCATTTGATTTCATTTCTATAAACAAATAGATAAAACTTATTATTAAATGGTATTTGCGACCACTCACTTTTATATATAAATTTCTAATTGCCTGATTTAGATAACTCGAATTGTTTTTTTTTTTTTTTTTTTGAAAGTCTATACTTTTTCTCAACGCGACTTCAAAAAAGTTAGAGAATTTATCTATAGTTTATTCATATGATCGCTTTGCAACTTACTATTTTTTAAAAGACGTTGATCATTTTATAATAAAATGATGTCAATTGAGGTAATTAGGTCATTAGCCGACACTGGTAGAAATCGATTTTTCACACTAAACAGATCAGATAACTTCAATACAATAAATTTTCTTTGCAGTAATAAGGAGAAAACTTTACGGATATAGTTTTTGCGGATTTAGATAAATTTTGGAACAAATAAAAAATGCGCCATCTCAATACGATATGAATAATAAAGTACACAATTGCCGCAGTAATTGGTCGTAATTTACAAGAAATACTTTGAGAGGATTATTAATGATATATCTATTTATTTAGGGAAACATAATTTTCTTTTTTCATGGAGTCCAATTGCAGTCGCGTATATTATGGTAATGACGTTGATAAAAAAAAAAAGAAAGCCATATATTGAAACAATGTTGAAACAATGAATTCAAAAAACTGTTAACTTCCATCCCTTCCCTTCTCTTAATGTTTATGCATAAAATAGGCGAATTTCTTTTAATTATGATCCTGCACACGATTTTATTAAAAATAACAAAATTTTATAGAAAATACACACACATATATGTTGTAGACCGCTTGGCTTAAAAAAAAATTATACTTATTTCACCTTTTAGACCGAGCTTATGACCTTGGAAACTTATAACTTTTTATGATCGATAAATCCTAATAAAAATATTACTTCACAGAAATTGGCTAGTGATTGGGATGATGCTCAAGCGCTATGATCAATCTCAATAAGTATCGCTTCTTTCTTAATTTATGATGTCATCAAAGGAATAAACTAATAAAAGAATAAAAGGCAACTACTCAATCTACTCTACAAGTAACAAACAGAGGCGCTTCACTTTATATTCTATCTATGATAAATTTTAGCCAAATCAGCGCAGATCAATTAAAGATCATAGTCAATTTTTTTAGGATCTCCCGTTTATTAATTTTGTTTATTGTAGATTTCTGGATAACCAGATCAGATATCTGTCATAATTTTTCACAATACTTGATAATTTATGAATCATCAAGTTTAATTTGCCTATTTGAAACTTTAGTTTAAGGAGTAGAATTTTTTTACCGCAAATATCAATTTTCCTTTTTAACGAGTTTTCAACTTGTTTAAAAATTTAAATAATGGAAAACATTCATGAGACTTCCATTGAGTTTTTTTATTTTTCAATTCGTTACACTACCCATTTACTTAACTAGCTTTCAATATGTTCAAGTTACGTAAAAAACTTTAAATATATTTTGATTAGTTGTGAACATTATTTTTATTTTTTTTTAAAAAAGGCATTTATCATTAAAAATATGCGTTAGTTAAATGATAAACATTTAATATTTATAAATTAATAACTTATTCTGGTGTTATATTGAGATAGTCAACTCGCAAGCAATCAAGTCAATAAATTTGAATTCGTATTGTTCGAAACTTTTTAATTATTCAAACGCTAAAAGAACGTTTTAAAAAGTCATTTGTTAAAAGTAAATAATGTCAATTTTTTTTGATTCAAGCATCCTGCATTGACCTTCAAATTTTATGGCTGGAATGAAGTAATTGAAATATTCGATTAATGATTCACATTGATAATGTTCACCATAAGAAATTTCTTAGTCAAAAATAATACTTTATTCAATGAAGAAAAATAAATGTTAATTGATTAGTATTTAAAGATTTAATCGTCATACGATTACTGCATGCTTGAATCTTTAAAAAATTTAATTTTGTTATGCATTGAATGTACGAAAATTTAGTTTCTATTCTGATTGGTTTCTGAAATGTTGCCGTTTATGAACGAGGAGCCGTTTTAGTACAATTTTCCATTGATGAATGAAAAAAGGCGGGAAATTTTTGTTTATGGTAATATAAATCATCCAAATACGGAGTAACTGCCGATCCAAAAAAAAAGCTTATAAAATGAGAATCATCAAAAAAATCAATCATTTAAACAAATTATATCAATTCAATAAATCCACTCGTTTTTTAAAATGTATTCTGAACAATCTTATACAGATAAGGAAGTCTTTTTCGTTGATTCATGCGAAAGTATTAAAATTGAAGTCTTACATTATCCCCCTGCTAATATAATTTTGGTAAGTTTTAGTCCTTAAAGTTCTTTATAAAAAAATTGTTATTATTAATGAAGTGTAATTAATTGTATAATAGAATCATCCACCAATTTTATTCATTCATGGAATAACTATCGCGGCCTGGGCTTGGGATAATTTTTGTCACTGGTTCTCGAATAAAGGACATGATTGTTACGCTATGAGGTAAATAAATTGTCACGAAACTAAGGTTTAATGGAATCTTAAATTTATTAAAATGATCTTTTACCTTAGTTTTCGAGGACATGGACAAAGTACAAAGACTCCAAAAAAAGATAAATGGTGGTCATTAAATGAAATCACAAATGATGTATCAGCCGTAACTGATGCAATATTTGCTAGGACCGGATATAAACCTGTTCTCGTTGGGTAAATATTAATAAACTTTTCATCATTAAAATTTTTAAATTGACGTTTGATTTATTTTCACTTTGCTAATAGTCACTCATTTGGAGGTGGAATTGTTCAAAATTATCTTAAAGATAATCATCAGAAAGTGGCGGGTGGAGTTTTATTTGCATCAATCTCACCTTACAGCTACAGGACAGGCATCTTCAAATTCTTTCTTAGATTATATTCAAATATTCCAATTCTTGCTATCTTTAAAACGATTTTTACATTAGAACCGTATACAGCAGTTGGAACTCCTAAATTAGTGAAGAGAAGCTTTTCTAAAGCATTTCCTGAATCTATGGCTATAGAACTTCATCCAAAGTTCGAGAAGGCTAGTTTTGTCACTGGATTGTTAGAAGTTTTTAAGCCATTTGTGGATCCTTCAATAATTAAATGCCCTATGATTGTGATTGGCGCTGAAGAGGATAAAGTATTTGGTTTAAAAACTATAGAAGAAACTGCTGAAGCTTATGGTGTTGGATTTGATATCATTGGTGGTGCTTCTCACAATATTATGCTGGACCTTACATGGGAGGATGCTGCAAATATTATTTTCAATAGGATCCAAGAAAGGGTTGTAAAGGAATAATTTTCAATGAATTAACTACATGTTAATCAATCATTACTGCGCCATTCGTATCGGTTATTATCGTTTATCGATTATCTAATTTCTTAATAAAAAAAGTTTTAAAAGATTAAATTTGAATTTAATAATGATTCAAGCCCTAGCGTCTACAAATTTCGCGAGTGGCGCAGCTTTACAATTATGTTGCGCCGCCATTACGGTTTGTTTCTTTATTTTTTTTAAATACATCTTTTTTCTTACAATTTTTGTATCCTTCTTAGAATTAATAATAAAAAGTAAAGAAGATAAATAGAGCCATAACGAGAAAAAATAAAGTTTATTTCTTTTGAATATACTAAAATTTTTTTTTTTTTTTAAAGAATAAAAATGTGATGTGGACATTTTTATTCGTGTACATATGGGGGCTAAGATATTAAAATCACCTTACGGGACCCCACCAACCAAAATTGAGATTTTTGATTCATATTATTATATGATATATGAACTTTATTTGGTTAAATTTTTATAGTCGATTATCTTATTCAATTAGGCACGTCAAAATTTTTCATTTTTGTGTAACATCAGTCGAAAAATCTAAAATTAGAATTTAGAAATGATCTACATTATTATTTAAAAAAAGTTAAAAAGGTTTCGGATCCTTATAAAATTCAAAATTTTTAACTTTAACCATTATTTGAATTAGTGATTAAATGGTGGGTATTTAATACTACAGCAAATATATATATATTTTTTTAAAATAAATAATATAAAAATTAATTTTTTTTTAAAAATTGAATTTTCTAATAAATTAGTGTAACAATGTCCCTTAGGGTAATTTTAATAGCTTGGTTAAAAGATTAAAACTGAATATGCAAGAAATTTATTAATTAAAAAAATATTGTTTTGAGTTCATGAAACATATAAAAATCTATTATCAAATGCCAAATTTATTTTTCAGGCAATAAATTAAATAAATTATCAACCATTCAACTCAAATATAAAAATTATAAAGTCATTTTCTTTTTAATAGAATTTTAATAAGTTTGATGAAAAATAGAGTATGTGTGTTGTAATATTAAATTTTTTCAATTATTTTAAGAAATTTATTTAAAAAATTCTAATCGACATGAAAATTATTAATCATAAATTCGTTTAATTTGTATTGTAACATTTAGATTTGTCTACCAAAACATTAATTCTTTTTATAAATTTTTTAAAATCATAATGACATTTAGCTTTGAAATTCAAAAATTCAAAATAAAGTTTCACAATATAATTAAATAACAAAAATAATGTAAAATATTAAATTTAAAGAATAAATTAGTATTGTTAACGTTACTCTTTTCATCAAATAAGTTAACTATGATTTGAAGTCAGGGAGGCAATAGTTATGACTTAAATCCAATCAATTTGACATGCTGTTTATTAGAGAGTTTATTTAGTTAACAAGAAATAAATTATAAGTTTTATGTTTGCAAAATGTTAAGAGTGTTTATTATTGTTGTTTAATGTATATTGAATATAATATTAAGAACTTATTGGAATCTGTCCTTTTTCCAAGGCATTTTCATGTTCTTTATATAGGAAAATTACAATTAAAGAAAATCTATGATATTTGTGATACTACTGACAAAAATAACAGAGCTAACAGATATACTAATTATGTTAAATATATTATAAATGATAATAATAATATAAATAATAGAAATATAATAAATAATATATTTATCCTATTTGGCAGATATAGTAGATTTAGCATATATGTCATATTCGATAGGCCTGTTAGTTTTTGCTAGTTTCAATTTCCTCCTCTAAATTTTGGTCTCTAAACTAAATCAACATTGCTTTTCTATTAGAGATTGATAATTTTTCTTTTTCATTGAACATATTTTAGGAAGACTTAAGTATCTAGTATGTTGAATTTACTCTAATCTCAGAAATTTAAAAATGAAATAAGTTCGTATTAATGTAATATAATAATACTTAGTTATTATGCCTTTAAAGTAGGTTCGTTAAGCTGGAAAAAAAGTTTCTTTTTCTAATAATTGTCCTAGATAAAAGGCATTTATCATTAATATTCAGTCCTTAAGGATTTAGGCTCTCCTTAGCATATGATAAGTTATTTTAATCTTTCTTTTTAACTTCATATTCTTTGTATAAGAAAATATAATAGGAATAGGATTATTGGAGATTCTTCTTTTCAAATCACTTTTGAAATCTTCTAAGGATATAATAAAAAAAAATAAGAATAATAAAAATAATAAAAATGAAGAAATAAAAAAATTAAAATAAATGATAAAAGGGATAGGTGAACTATATAACTATTTGAGGTTTCCAATTTTGTCAGTCATAATATTGTTTTAAAAGATCTTCATTAACAGGTGTTTTTAAAACTTTTCCATTTATTTCTCTTATTTTGTAAGATCCATTTAACAAGATTTGATGAATGTAATATGATTCTTTCCATTTTGGTTCTAATTTCTCAGACTATTGCTTTTCTTTTACTACATGATAATATAAAACTTTGTCTTTTATTTTAAAATAAAAGATCTTCTTTAGGCTATGATCATGTTGATCTTTCTGATTTACTTATGATTTTTCCACATGATTTTTAGCTCTTCCCCTGATTTGCAGTAAATCATCTACTAAAGATTCTATATGTTGATTTAGAGTCACATTTTCTTCAATTAGTTCATCAAGGGGTAATCATTCATCTCTTTCATATATTAAATAAAAGGGAGGTATCTTAGTTATTTGTTGATTGTTTAAAAGTTCGATATACAAATAAAGTAGATACAATTTGCAAATCCCAATTAAAAATTTCTTGGGACAGTTTTAGCTAAAGACGCATATAAAATTCTATTAAATTTTTTTACTAGACCATTGGTTTGGAAATGATAGGGAGTTAATAGAAGATGTTTTATCTTAAATTTATTTATTAATTCATCAACTATTTTGTTATTAAAATGGGTTTCTCAATCAGTTAATATCTTTATTAGGCATCCATGTCTACAAATAATTTCTTCATAAACAAATTGAGCTATTTGAGAAGCAGTTGCTTCTGGTCACTTAGTAAAATAATCAATAGCTACTATAATATATTTGTTTCCTTTATCTGTTGGAAAAAGAGATCCTACAAAGTCAATTCTGATTTGATAGAAAGATGCTTGTATTGCAATTGGATGTAAATCTTCATGTTTATTTAGTTTTCCTCTTCTTTAGCATTTGTTACAACTTTTAACATATGTACAAATATTTTCATATATTTAAGGCTAGTAATATCTCTTTCTGATTTTGTCGAACATAATATCAGTAGCAAAATGTCCAGCTGTTGAATCATTATGCATCATATATAAAATAGCTTCTATTTTATGAATTCTAATTACCCTTAAAAACTTTCCAGTGTTTCTTTTATCATTTCTATATAAATAATTATTTTAGATTATATAAGGTATGCAAAAATTTTTAAATTGTTTGATAGATTTGGGAGTTATTAATTCTATGAAAATAATTTGTTGTGTAAGGTAAGAATAAATATAATTATATTAATAAATATCCATAATAAGCTGTATGTTACACTGCATACACTTTTGCTTTCACTCTAAGTAATGCAGTAATAAATAATATAAATAAATAAAAAAAATATCTTAATCTAATTCAGGAAATTCAGGTTGAATATGTTCAAGAGGGGTGGGATAAAAGGAAAGTCCTTGAAGTGTTCTATATAACACTTGCATCTGAGTTTCTAATGATTGTGTTTTAACTTCTATTAACTTATTCTACCATACTTGATTATGTAGGTATCTTGGATCTATGTCTGGTTGAATTTGACCTAATTTATATCCGTTTATACACTCATGCTCAATAGTGTTATAAGATAAATTTATCTTATAAGCTTTACAGTATGTATATAAGTGGTAGTTTTCTATATTGCATGAATAGTTACATCTAGATCCTCCATTATTTATGGGTTATCCTGCTATCACTTGTTTGATTTTTATGTTTATTTTATATATATCCTGCATTTTCTCAGGTGGGGATTAGTATCCCACAGTGATGATTATTGGCTTAAACCAATCATAAAAGAGTTTATTCTCTAACATTTAGTCCTGACTGAATGAGGGATTTGAAATGAACCATTCAGTCTCATATTCATTATTTTCCTCAGAATGGGATGGATTATCTGTGATATAGTTATTTTCAATAGAAGAGATAGCCAGTTTCTACATCTGATTCAAAGTTCAAGAAAAATACTTCTGATTCTTTAGGTATTCGTGATAGAGTATCAGCATTTGCATTAGCCTTTTCAAGTCTATGTTTAATAGTAAACTCATATTGCTACAGTTCTATCACCCATTTTGCTCTTTGATCTTTAGGTAATTTAGAAGTTTGTAACCATTTTAAAGCTGAATGAT